AATGACGGAAAAGCCAAATATAGGTATGCTTCAGTTTCGAACTACATGGGTGCTGCGCAGCAGGAAGCCACCGGATATATATGAGGCATGCCTGAACTGAATGCTTTCGCTAATTACTCTTTTATTCTAGGGGGTACGTACACTAAAGAGACATCTGCCTACCCTTGTTTTCCACGACACATCAGCTGTAGCTCCCCCCGGGCACACGGCTAAATGTGTGCTAGATCCTCGCCGTGTGAGTCTCTTGATATTTGAGACTACTTCAAGCATATTATCTTAGGTAATCCTGATGTGGGTTCACTGGGTGTCTTTGTATTTTCCTGGATATGACAGTGTTGGAGCACCACCAGACAAAGCCATAATAAGGTTTGCAGACCTTCTAGAAACCTCATAGGTGACTAGTCGGGATTGTTCGTCATACGATCTTCAGGCACTACCGCGATCTCGTTGATGACGACTGGGGAAAGACTTGGATACATGAAGTAGAAGGATTTGGCAATTTCACAATGACAGACTATCCGGATAACTTGATGGAGAAACTGTTTAACAATGTCAAAAAACGGCTAGACAGAGTATACCGCGTTTTAAAACCCGCCATTTGAAATTTAGACCTGGCAGCCGTTAGCATTTGATTGAATTGACAATTTATTGTTATTACAGTTGGTTTTGTTTTTGTTATATTGCAGCGATCTGGAACTTGTCATAAGTATAAAGTGTACAGTGAAAAAAATGAGAAATAAAGGGATAAACTGCATGGAAGTGATGACAGCGGATCTCTATAACAAATACTTGCTTACTTTCCCAAAAATAAAATGAGACCGAAACTTTTTCGATACCGATTCAGCGGCTCTTCTTAACGCTTCTTTATAACATAGAATTTTTCGCCCTCCTTTTACTTATTTGAAATTTGATTGATCTCTTAAAACTCCAATGCAAAATTACGCAAGATCATGTATGATATATACAAATAAAGCCATTCGGACTATGAAGCGCGGTTCAAAATAATACGAATACCCCATATGCACAAACCATGTACGATCAACATCCAAACGATGCACTCGTCTTATCACAGCTCTTTGCGCTAGATAGAAGCTGAGTCTTGAGGCTTGTAATCCTGCTATCTCTGGGATGAGGTTGAAACTTGGTTGACGCGACGAGAAACAGGGATTTCAAGTGTTAAACAAATTATGTATCGAGCTATTTATCTTATAGCCTTGATAGAGCTTATGAAGTGCCTGAACCACAGAAAAACAAACGTTTTGGGAGCGCACTGACT